TTTCAACAATTCCTCCTTATAGAATTCTTTAGCAAGCCCTGCCCCCATCTGGTTCCTGTCTATTGATGAAGGCTCATGTCTCCCACAGCTTTCCTCTTTGCAAGTACTCTTGTTCTACAAAAACCAAGCTTTCAACCCTTCATGAATGTTGCTTTCTCTGCTAGGAATGCGTTTTCCCCACTTCTCTCACTAGGGCCCAGCTTAAGCCCCTCCTCCTCCACAATGCTTCCTTAATATCCTCAAGCAGAGGTGATATTCTGCATGCCCTTTTTATACTTTTGCAGTATTTGCTTACATGACTACTAGACTGAGCTCCTTAAAAGCAAAGTCCATGTTGTGTTCAGTTTTGGACAGGAGTGACTGAATCAATCAACCATGTGCATCAGTCTTATATAAGGCTGCATGCACATGAACTGAGTCAAACTATTTGAGTTGACTTCTCTTTAGCCAGGCATTTTAAAATCTAGTTGCCCAGTGAAGGCTTTAGGGCCCTGTAGAGAGAGACTCTATTTTTGGGGAATCTCACCTGGTACAGTAAATATAGCTCAGTGCTCTGAGGGAATTGAACACCTAATAAATACTTCCCATTATGTTTAATGCTATCTCACATGGTGGGCAACCGGCATAGTTAGTGACCTATGGGCTATGTTATAAAAGATACCATAAAGCCTGACTGGCCTAAATACTTCTCTTTTATGACTAAGATCTCGCCATGTCTGTTAAGAAATTTCTACCCTTATCTTTACTAGTAGTTGGACCTGTGGTCCCTTAAGTGGGGTGAATGTACTCCAGGACCTGAGCAAATAGTGCATCTGTGCAAGAGAATTTCTATTTTATTTTACTCCTTTAAAATTTTCTGTATCTTTTGTATAGATTATAATGTGGATAACATATTAGCGTAATAACATGTGTATAATTTATAAATAAAGACAGGAGTTTACACTCAAAATTTGTTTTTACTCTACTAGTGTATCATCAGGAGCTCTGGTAGCACAGTGCCTAAGGCACTTGACTGCTAACCAGAAGGCTGGTGGTTCAAATCCACCAGCCACTCCTTGGAAAGAAGGTTGGGCAATCTATTTCCATAGTGATACCACCTCGGAAACCCAAGGAGGGGTCGTTATGAGTTGGGGTTGACTCAACCCGGCACATAACAACAACAACAATAGTGGACCATCAACTTATTTATCATTCAAAAGTTAGACCTAAGGGAAATTACAAAGGGAGAAACATTTTCCAGCTAATCAGGACATATGTTTGAATGACTTAAATATGGTCCTCAGCAGCTGGCAGGACTAAGTGGACTGAGACTACTCCTGAGCCAGTATTTTCCTAATGGCCTCAGAGGAATGATACTGTTTCAAACAGGAGTTCTTTGAAAGGAAGTTTGTCAGTCAAGTACATTTAGAAAAGTCCATTATCTATAGCCTCCTCCTTGCAATTTATGGTGGGCAGGAGCAGGCAGGGGAGCAGGGCTATCTGGAGGCTGGATCTAGCTCAAGGTAGTGAACTATCTAGACAGCAGTTGAGAACCTAGAATACACAGAGGCTTGAGGTATAAAGCAGGAGGCAGCAACAGGCAGGGCAGCCAACTGTAGGTGTTTGCAGGCATGAAACAGGGACAGTCTATCACCACCAGGAATCATGCCACATCTGCCACTTATTGTGGTTGGAGCTAATGTCAGAGGGTAGACAGCTAAAAATGAAGGTGGAAGGTGGCAGTAACTATTCCAAAATGCCTACTAGAGGGGCAAAGGGTAGCAGTCTGATGGGAGTTGAAGCCCAGGAAACCTATGTTAAAGCTGCATTAGCATAACCAGAGTACTGCCTTTGCTTGGATTGTATGGTTATTTTGGGACAGCTGCAGAGATTGGTAGGAGCTCTGGTGGTGTAGCACCTAAGGCTTTTGACTGCTACCCAGAAGGCTGATGGTTCAAACCTACCAGCCATAGCCAGTCCTCTGAAGGAAGGTTGGGCAATCTACTTCTGTAGTGATAGAGCCTCAGAAACCCAAGGAGGGGTTGCTATGACTCAGATCTGACTTGATGGCAGTGGGTTTTTTGCAGAGATTGGTTGATGATAGAGATTTGGGCAGAGGTTGTTTCCAATTCAGGTCACTTTGAGGGCTACAGACACTTCTAACTAATGATACCTTGCATTTGTAAAGCATTTCAGTTTGCATAAACTTTTACTAACACCACTTCACATATATTTACCACAATCCAGCATCTATTTTGCTGATGGAGAAGTAGAAGTTCAAAGTGATAAGTTCATTTAGCCAGACCCTTTCCTCTACGCATGAGGAATCTGAGGCCCAGGTGGGGATAATTGACTCACCAAGGACAAAGAGCAGATAGTCATCAAAGCCAATGTCCAAGGTCCAAGCTCAAGTCTCACAGAAGTCCAAATGCCTCCCAGTTCTCCATATTTTTATTACACTTCCCTCTTAGCCTTCCTTGGTCAGCAGTCCATAAGGAATGGCTAACAAATTTTATTGGCACTATCTCTCTACTCTTGGTTCTTCCATGTAATTTGCAGCATTTGAAAGGAAACAACAAGAACATGGAAAGGATAGAGGGAACACACCCAAAAAGCCCAGGTTGGTCTTCACAGATGTCCAGTGTTGAACTCTACATGCAATATTCAAAGACAACAGGTGTCCATCCAAAGAATTGCAAATCACCATTTGCTGGTGTTTGAGCCGAGCATGGTCAGCAAGTTCTTCATGAATGCTAGGAGGATAAGAAGGATAAGTGACAAGACAAGGCAACTCATCATCTTCTTCAAGCACTTGTATCAAAGCATGAAGGAATAACCATGAACTGAAACCTCAGTGGAAAAACTTTAAATAAATAAGAAATTGTAAAAATACCAAGACCTCAAGATAGCAGTTTTTTATTTAGAAATAGTTGAAGAAAATAAATATCATTTATAGTCCAAAGGAACCAAAGACCTAGCTCACTTCTCAGTGGGGTGGCAACTTGGCAAGGAAATTAGGAGCAAGAAACACCACTGGTTCTCCCACCTTCAATCAATGATCATTCTCACTGTGCTTGACTGTTTAGTGGTTTGAAGCCATTGAGTGAATGTCTTTTAAGATCAGACTTTTACATCTGTTCTACTGCATCACAAAGGTGTATGTTGTCTCAGTACTGTGTACATATGTGTGCACACACACACACACACACTACCACCACCACCAGTGGTTAGGGACTTAGGCAGGGCTGGTCTTCAGGAAGGGTTGTGTTGTAAGGGTACAACCAACATAATGTGGGGTTGTTCTGAGTTCTTTGGATTGGGAGTGTGATTTAGCTCTGTTGAGCCTAATGTTTGAAACTGCCAAGCCCACAACCTATGTAAATGCAAATTCAAACCCAGCAAAAAAATTTGAATGATACCTAAACCATTGTATTCTCTTTGTTAAGGAATGTTCACATATTTTTAAAGAAATAAATCAAGAGTCCATCCATTTTTTTTTTTAAAAATCACCCAAGTACCAAAGAATACATTTAATATTATAGTACAGGTATTTTATTGCAATGATTTTAATAACCAAAGTTATTTTTACACAAAATACTATATAAAGTTATACACAGAACTGATCTAGCTATGATACACATGACACATAGAATCACGACTATTATTTATGACTCTTGAAGCATTTGAAATATTAGTTTTCAGAACTGGCAAGAAAGAATGTAGCTTCAGGGAAGCAGTTAATGTCATGGCAGAGAGGACAGTGCTGTGTACACGTATATCTAGGTGGCACATTCTCTTAAGGGCCCATAAATGTCGCTTAAGTAGAGGAATAGACATGATTCCACGATCTGTTCATTGCTGAGAAAACCTGGAGATCCTTCCTACCAGGATTCTATTTGTAAACTAGAAAACTAAGTTTAACAGGGCAGATAACCAAATTAGATATTTTGTTTAAAGTAATGTTTTTCAGTAAAAGGCTACTAAAATTAAAAAAATAAAGGACTCCATACTTAGATTTTAAACCATTCCACTGCTAACCAAAAGGTCAGCAGTTCATATCCACTACCTGCTCCATGAGAGAAAGATGAGGCAGTCTGCTTCCATAAAGATTTGTTGTTGTTATGTGCTGTTGAGTGGGACCCGACTCATAGCAACCCCTCCTCGGGTTTCCGAGGAGGCATTATCATTATGGAAGTAGATTGCCCAATTTTCCTTCCGAGGAGTAGCTGGTGGGTTAGCCTTAGGCACTATGCTACCAGAGCTCCCCCGTAAAGATTTACAGTCTTGGAAATGCTATGGGGCAATTCCACTATGGAGCAGGTTACTATGACTCCAAATCAACCTGATACCAATGTGTTTGGTTTGGCCTGGGTATACTTAATAACCAAACTGATTTTTATTGCCAATCCCAGATATTTTATGGCTTGGACATCAATAAAACAGCAAATGCAACCTAGAAATGATACAATTAGAACAACATAGAAAAAGCTAGAATTCTAGTGGAAAACAAAACTTTTGGTACTATAGATATTTAGCTATTTATTTCATTAAACATAGCCTTCACAATGTACTACATTCTTTCTTGCTACTGCATTAAGCTGGAAATTTTATAACGTAGATTCCACTCTCTAACATAAATCCCAGCTCATCCAGAAAACTCCAAGGAATACAGCTTTTCTCCCCTTCAGTATATAATATATGCCAAATCACATTTACAGGACACTGCATCACATAATTTTTAAGATGGCAACTGGGAGCAAGATTTTCAATATTTTTTTTGACATGATAATATTTATTGTTTCAACTAAGCTCAAGCAGGGCCCATGACGTACTTCCTTTTCAGGTCAAATTGTGGAAGGATAAATGCTAATCATCATTACTGGAATACATAAAATTAAACTCTTATATTTACTGTTAAAGATCTTGCTAAGTTAATTGCAGAGCAGGTACTCTGAGCATATAAACACATCTGTCATCCCAAAAGCTATCAGAGTCAATACTGTTGTGGAAATGGTCCAGCCTTAGACACAAGTAGAATGGTTGTAGATTCCACAGCAGTTAGCAAACACCAAGGCACTGAACTCATTGCCTTCCCAGGGACCAGAAAAAGAAGGAGTGTTGGTGCCATTCAGAGAAGTACTGAAATGAAAAGCCAGAGGGCTACATAGTGGGTCAGATAAATACAATGCAACAAGACTATATTAATAAGTTGTACTAAGCCACTGAAAGGAGCTCTGGTAGTGTAGTGCCTAAGGCACTTGACTACTAACCAGAAGGCTGGTGGTTCAAACCCACCAGCCACTCCTCAGAAGGAAGGTTGGGCAATCCTACGTCTGTAGTGATACCGTCTTGGAAACCCAAGAAGGGGTCATTATGAGTCAACGGCACATAACAACAAGAACAAGCAGCTGAAAAACAGAGCAAAACAATAACAACCTATATAAATGGATCCATCAGCAATGACCAAATAAATAGACCCAATGAAGTTTATTTTCTCATTCAGACCCAAGATAATAATGGCAAGAAACTCTATAAAATGTGCTCTGCTACCTTGCCCAGTTCCTAACCGTAATTCTTTTGGGGATGTCCTTTCTAGATAACACTAAGGCAAAGTTAATGCTTTACAAAGTGTTTTAGAATAGCATCTATTGGAAAAATTGAGGCGACATCTGTGGTAGTTAAGTTTGTGTGTCAACTTGGCTGGGCCTGGTTGAGTGGCTGGGGAGCTGGATGTCGTATTCCCCATGATGAGACTGGTAATCAACTCCATGGTGGAATCTTCCATGAGAAGGAAAAGCCTTGGGATAATCTCTAGCTTATGGCACGCTTGAACCCTGCATGTAGCCATGTTGTAGTTCACCAGCCTGCCATGCTCTGCTGACCTTGGGACTTTCAATGGGCTTGACTTAATGGTCTGTCATGTAGTTTGGTAACATTGGGACTGTGCCTTTTTATTTGTCAACCTTGGGCTTGTCAGCCTCAGCAGCCAGCAGCTGTTTGAGTGAAGAAAAGCCTCCAGCCTCAGTGGGCTGGGAGCAGGAAGCAGACTGAAGCTCAAGGTTGAGGGGCTTTCATCCAGCCCCTAGAGCCTGGCACTTTGAAAACTTGGACTTAAAGCCTCCAAACTGTAGAAGAATAAACTCCTGTTTGTTCAGCCATCCCATTTGTGGTATATTCCTGTCAGAGTGGCACTAGGTAATCAAAACAACATGCAAAGGCCATTTTCCTCTTGAGAAAGAAAACCTCTTAGGCTTAATTAGTATAAATTAATTGACAAAAACATTTCAGATTCTAGATGCTATTGCTTATACTTGGTGTGATATATCTCCATTCTCACAATCACTTAGTATCAGCCCTTATCATCTCTTACTTGGATTATTTCATCAGTGCTTTTATTGTTCTCCTTCTATTTAAATAACTACCAACAATGTTTGTTTTGAAGAAGCATATTAGATCATACCAACGTTCAGAATTCTGCAAGTGAAAATTTAAATTCCTTAGCATTTTATATAAGGCCTTATATGACCTTCCAGCCTCATCTCCCTGAACTCTCTTCACTTACCCATATAACACCACTGATACGTACAATTTTTACTTTGGCAGCACCAAATATTCTGATTGCTCAAATCCTCCCTTTTGTGTGTTTTATGCATCCTAAAAATAGTTCTTAAAGCTTCATGATATATTTTCTTCTTTAAATATTCCACAATCTGGTAAACAAGTTCACTTACACACTATTTGAACTTATGATTATATCAAGTCAACTTTATCCCCTCTTCTCCTTTTTTTTTCTGTCTGAAGACACAGTTGCTTCTTTCCCTTCCCTTCTACCTCTCAGTACCCCACCAATCTACTCAGGTAAAATGTCAGTTGTTCATACTAGAGCTGATAATAGTGAGGATGCACCTAAAAAGAGAAAAGAACATAGATCTAGATCATCACAAATCACTTACCACACAGTCTAGTCAGCATCCACATGATTACCCTCAAGATCTTACCTCTTTTCCCTCCAGAAGATTCTGGAGGGAAAGGTAAAGCATAAGAGGTGGGAACAGGGATCCTGGTGCTCACCTCTGAAACAGCTCTTTACAACACACATAGGTTTCATAGCTGCTGTTGGTGAAACTTGTGCTTAGGAAGGAGACACAGTCAACTCCCACTCCCCTGGGGACATAGAGGATTCCTAGAAAAGAAGAGAGATACCAAGGGGAAGATTTTGCACATGCTCCTTAAAGCTCTTTAGTTTTTCTTTGAGTGTGAAAGAAATACACTATAGATTAGGTGCCTTTTCTGTGCATCTGTGGGATGGATGGTTAAATCAATATGCTGGGAGAGATCTTGCTGTGATTAGGCAGACCAAGCTGAGGCACGTACCTGCCATACAGGCACTGATAAAGGATACAAAGGCCCCTGTGAAGAGGGCACTGACCACAATCTTGGATAAGTCACTCTTCCGGTGAGGTACCATTGATGCTGTCGAAAACAAAACAAAAATAACTTGATCTCTTCCCCATCAGGCAATCAGGTATTATAGTCTGCATTTAGAAGAATGCAGAAAAATTAAACATAGCAGATGAGTAGCATCTTTACCACAAACCCTCATGTATATATACATTAGTACTGAGGGATCACTAACTCAGACATTCCCCAGGTCAAGGATTGTGTGTCTGACCTTAAGTAGGTCAGGCAACTTCAGTGGTTCTGTGAATATTCTTTCTTTTTTTTTTAAATTGTGATTTTGGTGAAAATTTACAGAGCAAATTCACTTTCCATACAGCAGTTCACATACACTTTGTCTCATGACATTGACCACAATTTACCACAATGCAA